ACTCACCTGGTGACTCATCACTCACCTGTGTGTCTGCAGCGGAGAGGGAGATTGTGCGGGACATCAAGGAGAAGTTGTGCTACGTGGCGCTGGACTTTGAGAACGAGATGGGGACGGCGGCCACCTCGTCCTCTCTGGAGAAGAGCTACGAGTTACCTGATGGACAGGTGATCACCATCGGCAATGAGAGGTTCCGCTGCCCCGAGACGCTCTTCCAGCCGTCCTTCATCGGTCAGACACCTGTTCACCTGTCCATCTATCTGTTTACCTGTCTGTCAGTTCACCTGTCTGTCTGTCCGTCTGTCTGTCAGTTCACCTGTCTGTCTGTCTGTCTGTCTGTCAGTTCACCTGTCTGTCCGTCTGTCTGTCAGTTCACCTGTCCGTCAGGTGTGTTGCTGTGTCTGACCTACAGTCGTCTTGTAAAACGAGAACCAAACATGTGACATGATTTAATGCCCTGATTCACTACCTAATTACTGACTCACCTGTGGGCAGGTATGGAGTCGGCAGGTATCCACGAGACGACCTACAACAGCATCATGAAGTGTGACATCGACATCAGGAAGGATCTGTACGCCAACAACGTTCTGTCCGGAGGAACCACCATGTATCCTGGTATCGCCGACCGCATGCAGAAGGAGATCACAGCTCTGGCTCCCAGCACCATGAAGATCAAGGTTCACCTGAACTCACCTGAACTCACCTGAACTCACCTGAACTCACCTGAACTCACCTGAACTCACCTGTCTACCGTGTTAGCGAACATGAATCTGAGCTGAATATTAACTTTAAATCACTGAAGTACCAGTTTAGCGTGTTATTAACTGATATTCATTCAAAAGATAAACTCTGTTATTATTGTTGTTATTATTATTATTATTATTGTTGTTGTTGTTGTTGTTACACCAACAATAAGTCTCCTGATAATCAACTGAAGCCATCAAGCACCTCATTCTGAAAAGCCCTTAACTTACTCATCAACTTTAGTTTTATGTCATTAACTGAATATGAATTAATATTTGACTAATTCAGGTTATCAGTTTAAGTTATACAAACAGAAAAAATGAGGAAATAAACTCATTAAAGTGCCTTTAATCCACCAGCCCTTAATTACTACGCTTAATGAGAGTTTAAGGGTAATTTATTCCCTTAACTTTAATAATTATTCATATTTGACAAATCCAAGTTATGGATTTAAGGTACAAACATCAAACACCTGAGCTGTATAGAATGGGACTGACAATCCATTTATTTGTCTTTTATTTTGAAATTAAAAGCCTTCAAAATAGCTTGATCAGAAAAGCCCTTAATTACCAAAGCAAGTAAAGCATGGGGCATATGAGGTCTCTAATTTACTTAATAGCTTTTTTATAATTAAAATCTGACGAATAGTGAATACAAGGTACAAAAAACCTTTTAAAACACCTTAAACTGAAAAGCTCTTATTTTGAAGGGGGCATTGTCTTCCTTGTTGTGACTTCCTGTTGTTCTAAGGGATTTAGTTGAGGTAAAGGATCACTTTTTAATTATGGGATGGATTTGATACAACTGGAGAGGCTCTGAACTGAACTGAAGGTTCCTCCTTAAAAGGATGGACATTAAGGGGTTTGGGTTTAACATTTCTGATTGGTCGGTTCGGTTTAACGTTGACTGTAAACATAAACATAGACGAGGCTGACCCCGCCCCCGTGTGTCCTGCAGATCATCGCCCCCCCAGAGAGGAAGTACTCGGTGTGGATCGGTGGCTCCATCCTGGCGTCGCTCTCCACCTTCCAGCAGATGTGGATCAGCAAGCAGGAGTACGACGAGGCCGGACCCTCCATCGTCCACCGCAAGTGCTTCTAAAGGCGCCGCTGTAGCCCCGCCCCCCGCCGCCATCTTTATTTTAACCTGCACTGAACACGAGCTAACAGCCCCCATCTTCAACCATCCAGAACTTCATCAGGTCTCCTCTCTGCTCACGTCAAACTGTGAACGTCGTCCATCTTTAGCCCCGCCCACCCCACCTGCCCCTGCTCCACCTGTGGCCCCGCCCCCTCTGTCCTCCATGTTGTGTCTTGTCAGAAAGTGTGTTTTTATTTTTGATGAATAAAGCTTGAATGTTTCCCGCTGGTGTCGCCTCCCGTCGTTGGGGAACAGAGCGCGCTCGCACGACGTCATGGTGATGTCACACGGCAGGTGAGCAGGAGGCGTGGCCTCAGTCGAGGCGTGTGGAGGTGAGCGACAGCGTGTGATGTGACGTAACAACGTGGAGGCGACAGTCGAACGCCTGAAAGACAATAAAGAGCTCTCATACAAGAAACCGTTGTTGTTTGTTTATTGTTTACTGCCAGCGTCATGATGTCATCGGGTTGAGAGGCGTTGAAGCGCCGACGCGACAAAGTATGAAAAAAAGCACCAGTGAGGATTTTTTATGTTGAAAAAGAGTTGAAATAACAACAAATATCTGTAAAATGACGACGTTTGTCAGATTGAACTCCAGTGACGCTCATGTTAAAGTCAAACCACTGTTCAGATGCAGATTGTTGTCATGGCAACATCGTTTACAGCTTTGTTTTCCAAATTAATACTTATTCTGTCACTTTTCTGGAAAAACTCGCAGAATCTGCAAAAGAACGGTTTAAAAAATGATTGACTTTAAATATCTTTTAATTTGTAACGGATTTAATTTAAATACAGTAAAAAACAAATCGTTAAAATGTGCAGCAACTGTTCTACAACAACAGATGATTAATATGCGTAGGATTGACTGTTTCAGCCTGTTTTTATCACTAACATGTTAATTAAGACTTTTTTTTTAATGATTTACTAGTTATCATCTGTAATTCTAAAAACTGACAAAATAATTTGTGAAGCTGTTGAAAGCTGCAGATTCTCCATCGTGGTACCAAACGTGTAGAAGTTTGATTTGGCCGACACGTCCTTCTGGAGGAAACAAAACCAAAACAGTCGGACGTTAATGAGGAATTCTAATCATACAGAAACATGGGTTCAGTCTGAGGGCATTCTCTGTAAACCTGAAGGTTTCGCTGTCATGTGACGATCTCATTACTGTGAAGAGAACCGTGGTGACGCCTGGTGGTTGCCATGGGAACAGCAGGGGGTTAATACAGCGAGCAGGCTGACGAGAAACGGCATCAAAAACTGAGACCGTCGGACTTGCAGCACCTGATCGATCCTCCAGGTGAGTCGTCCACCTGCAGGTCACGTGATGCTCCAGCAGGCCACATGGACCTCAGCAGATCAACAGTCTCAGGTGAAGCCAGGCGGCTCCGACGTGGACAGAAGCTGCTCCGCTGCCATCTAGTGGGGAGTTGGAGTCATGACAAGAACACAGCTCCACTGAGGTCCTGAACCTGCAGAGACCAGCGCCGGTTTGTCGAAGCTCTCAGCTGTGAAATGTGCTGACGAAAGGCTGAGAACGTTTCTGGTTCCATTCAAACAGAGGATTAAACCGGCTGCTCGATGTGTCTTAAACCTAAACCCCCAAAACTCTGAGAGCAGACACGAGGAAAAGAGTTCAACGCTGCTTTAAGGGGAGTTTTCAAAATGAACATCTGGTGTGAAACTGTGGGTTTCCCCTCCGCTCACAGGAACCGTGTCAAAATACTAAAATACAGTAAAATGTGGAAGCAGAGCCTCGAGGCGCTGAGTTTCTACAAAGAACTAAACACGTTCTCTGTCACCGGAGATCTCTTTCATTTACGGAGCAGAACTTTTTGAATGCTGGTGTTTGAGTGGAGCAGAATAAAAACTCTGACAGATCTGAGCAGCAGTTGGTGTTTTATTACCAAAAAAAATGGCAGTGAGCTTTAAACACAGCAGTCAGGTCAGCGCTCATGAACACAGCTGAACAGCAAAACATCTGCTGGTGCACAAACTGAAAACTCCAAACACACACATGAGCAGCTTCAAAAAGTATCACAAGGTTGGAGAAAATAATTCACTTTCCAGCGTCTGTATAAACGTAGAAAGCAGAACTCCTGAATAAAGGAGAAAACTGACATCAGAGAAAAGGTTGAATTTCAC